GTATATCATACGTACGTCAATATATATATAGGACATATACTTGGCATACACATGACATACAGTGATATACATGCAATATGCATGATATATATATATATATATATATAATACCGATATACATGATCTATGATAGGGGATACACATAATCTACACACGTCATACACTCATTCCACGACCAAACCACTACTGAAAACCGCCATGACCATTATAAAGAACAACCATAATTAACCACCATTGATTCCATTATAAGAAATGCATAAACCACTTTCATATAAAGAGAGCGTGAAAGAAGAAGAAATATTAGTCGATTCCATTAAAGTTGAAAGACTCGATACTTTAGATTCCTTATCACCATTGTTAACAACCGAATTCGGCTCATTCTCATATCTAGGAATCAAAATGCGAGCTCGTCCAATGAACCAATTGATTTCATCTCTGAAACTACAAAAGAGGTCACAAAGTCAGTCACAACCACCATCGAAATACAATTTGAGTCTGTACACAAACAATAGGGGATACTGCAAGAGATCTCCGAACCTAGATTTGGTATTGGGACTCAGAGTAGGTGACGGAAAAGAATGAGTTTGGCATTAAAAGAATAGTTGTGTTGTCTCCTGATATATAATTGTTTTTCTGGTGGCAAATTGTTAAGCAAATCGGCGATGATGGTGGAATTGTAAGACAATGGTTGGGAATTATTGGCTCTTGTGACTCATATGGGAAAGATTGGGAGGGACAATTACTAAAATTAGAGCAAAAAATCAAGGTATACTTATTGTTTTAAGTTGTTATGTTCTTAAAAGTCTTATAATGTAGGGTAATTAGGGCTCGTAAAATGTCTAATCGAAATTATAAACGGGTTAAAATCTTGTATAAAATAAATATAAAACTAAAAATAAATTGGGAAAAGGGTTAGATTTACCCCTCTACTTTTAAATATTGTTTACATTTGTCTTCTATTATACTTTGGGAATAAAAATAACCCTTCCGTTACAATTCTTATCAAATATATCCCTATCTCTAACGAAGGTCCACTATGGCCACGTAGATTGACATTTGGGTGAGGTGGGCGCCACGTCACATGCCACCTCACCACCCTAGCCTTATTTTACCCCCTTCCCCAGTAGGACAATGCTTTTTCTAGATCTTCCAATTTTTTCTTTTTTCTGACATCTTCTCTTCCCACCCAATGTGGCCAACAACCACTACTAATTGCGTTGGGGTAGTAATCGTTTTAGGTAATCTCTTATTTCCATTGGTGATTTTAGTTTCCATTTTTGAAGCCTAAAACTTTCAAATTTCAAATTTCGAAATCAGAAAAGTGAGTTTGTTGGTTAACCATTGTTAGAATAATTTGAAAAAATCACTTGTTGTGTTTAAGTTTAGATTCACTTACTGATTTGGAAAAATGTAGTTGAAAGGAAACTAAAATCACCATTGGACTATTTGGAAAAGCTTGAATAACACCCAAATGGGTCTGTTGTGAATCCGTGATTGCTTAAATCTGCCTTTGTCATGGACCCATCTTCTGCAACTTGATGCAATCTTTCAAGCTAAATGAAGCTCCCAAAAGTCATGCTCTAACTCACATATGAGAAGGGTCTAAAGAACCATACTTTTCTCAGTTCATATGAACACGCAGATTTAAAATTCTAACATATAACATTTGCGAGATTGAATATTTTGATAAACTAAAATAATATGTGTGCTTCAAATGAGTTCTCTTAATTAGGAACATGCATCCTACCCAACATATGAAGATTTCATCGTTCTTCTATTGTTTGCCCTATTCTTTTCCACAATCAAATTTTTGCGTGATATCTGTTTTTGGGTACTTTTGTTTTTAGAATTTGTTTGGTAGCTTTTACGAAATTAGCTCATATGATTCTGTCTTGAAACTTTTTGATATTTTTTTTTGAATTGTCTTTAGATGGGTTTTTATTACTTTTGCTGATTATTTAATGGATGGATCTCAATGTTATTTAGGGGAGTGGGTAAAATAAGGTTAAAGTGGTGGGTTGGCATGCCACGTGGCATCCACTTCACCCAAATGTCAGCTCACGTGGAATTTTGATAGCTGAGTCATTGCCACATTGGATCTCTATTAGAGATATGGGCATATTTAATTAAGAATTGTAACGGCAGGGGTATTTTTGCTCCCAAAGTATAACAGAGGTTAAATGTGAATAATATTTAAAAGTAGAAGGACATATCTAGCCTTTTTCACAAATAAATTTGTAAAATGCTACAAAACCAATTGAAAGTTCCCAATACAAAATCCAAACCTAGCCCACTAACAATGAGTTTAATGGACCAAGCCCAAGTTCAGTCCACAGCTAATGGGTGGGCAAGTTTCCTGTATTGAATTGTAATTTTGGATCAAGGACCAACAGGCCCAACCCATGAGGCTAATCCTTATCGTCAATAAACTCTCCACTAAAAACCCTAGTGTTTCCATAGCAAAGCCCCAGAGGGAGAACAATAGCTGGAGGAGGAGTGAGGGCAGACAGCCGTACCAGAACTGATTCAATGGGTAAAGCTCTCTGAAATGCTCTCAGTCTAATTAATTCATGTCGAAAATGCATTTAAATGCCAAAACTCTTAGGTTATTTGATATTGTTTTTGTGCTGTTCTATTGAGGTTTTTTCATCTGTGGTATTTTGCTTCAAACATTACAAATTTTTATTTAGCACTTGTCTTTTTGTGTATCTTCATGTGGGTTTGTTCTCTTTTATGAGAAAATGGGGCTCTTTTTTTCTCCTTTGTGCTTATTTGATTATGGTGTGGTATTTTACATATATACATATTTAGCTTTACTTATACAACAACTATGCCTCATTACCAAGCAAGTTGGGGTTGGCTATATAAATCCTCGCTGATCATGTATCTCCATTTTAGCAATAAAAAATGTATTTTGATTGTTTTAACACTTTTTTTTAGAACTCGGTAGATATTAAGCCTGCCTATCTACCTATTTTCACCTAAATTTAGAGTGCTTACAGTTAAATGTGTATGTTCATGGTGGTTAGTTGCTCAATGATATTGAATGCTTGTGTTCATGAGGAAATGCGTTTTCTATATTTTGTTTTAGTAGAATATGCTGCTGTTCTTTCACAGATATATTGAAATATATTTTGCAGATGTTGGAAATGAAGTGCTTATGTTTTGGTTTTGGGTGGAAATGTAGGTGCTTACACTTATGTGTCTGAGCTATGGAGGAAGAAGCAGTCTGATGTGATGAGGTTCTTGCAAAGGGTGAGGTGCTGGGAGTACCGTCAGCTTCCCTCCATTGTCCGTGTGACTAGGCCTACTCGTCCTGACAAAGCACGTCGCTTGGGATACAAAGCCAAGCAGGTAACTGCTTGTTTGTTGTGTTCTTAATTACTGAACTTTTATCTATGCCAGTTGTTACAGGATTCGTTCTTCTTTGGAAGTGGTAACTAGATAGAGATTATAGTAGTGTGTACGATCTGAATGAAGCTTTTTAGGTTAGTGCTTCAGCGACGGGAGATTTGATGATTGAAACAATAAGATCAATCACTCCTCTTTTTTTTTAGCTATTTTCTTAAATTTCGATAGTTTCTCAATTTGTGCATGCTGTCCATAAGCTGGGGACGTTCTTGTTCCAAATTTATCTCTACAAACCCAAAAAGAGAGATTAATTACTATTCACTTGTCAAAAGAATAAATAATGAGGTTATAGACTAGGTATATCGCGTTAACTGTTGTATCTCTTGTTGCTCTAGTTGGGTGGAATCCTGGAAACACCAGTGCTTGTTTGTATAGGTTTCTTTGTCGAAGGCCGTATAATTCCCTTATTCCTTCATCATTACATGCAGTTTCTGCCACGAGAAATTTTCGGATAGAATAAATAAGTCTAAAGAAAAGTCACTTGTCACCCCCAAAAACAAAGGGGACATCTCAAGACTAATTGTATAGCTTTGACTGTTATATCTGCTTGTTGTCTAGGTTGGGGAGAATTCCAGGAGTCCCTTATTAGGTTATTCGTTCATAATTTATATGTAGTTTCTGTGTCAGGGAATGAAAACAAGATCTAACAAGTTATATTTCTAATAAGGGCCTGCAAGTGGTCAGTTATTGTAACCCAAATAACAGCATTATGGAGTAGTTTTATGTTTTCTTGCTTCATTTCTGTTTGGTTGTTCTAACTGATGACTTGTGTATCTTTATATAATAGGGCTATGTGGTCTACCGTGTTCGTGTCAAGCGTGGTGGAAGGAAGAGGCCTGTTCCCAAAGGTATTGTGTATGGTAAGCCCACCAACCAAGGTGTTACCCAATTGAAGTTCCAGCGCAGCAAGCGCTCTGTTGCTGAGGAGCGTGCTGGTAGGAAGTTGGGCGGCCTTAAGGTTCTCAATTCCTACTGGATTAATGAGGTCAGCTGGTTGATACTCCTTTCTTGAAATTAATTAATGCATCCTTATTTCCTTCAGACAAGTAAATATGTATTCTGGATCACCAGTAGTTGCTAATGTTAAGTGGTACATCCCTAGACTGCAGTTGCTGAATCGTCTTATGAAATGGATATCATTTGTTTGCTTGAATGGGTTTTGACTACATTGATATTTTATATGTTTGCTCGAATCGGTGGGATTACTTTGATATTGATATGCTGTGGTCTCCTTTGAATCATTTCTTTTCTCCACATTTGGTTTAATAATAGTTGTAAAATATGAATTGCAATGTTGTTGAATGTAGGATTCCACCTACAAGTACTTTGAGGTGATCCTAGTTGACCAAGCCCATGCTGCCATCCGTAATGATCCAAGGATTAACTGGATCTGCAACCCAGTGCATAAGCACAGAGAACTTCGTGGTCTCACTTCAGCTGGTAAGAAATACAGGGGTCTTCGAGGAAAAGGACACTTGCACCATAAAGCACGTCCTTCAAGAAGGGCAACCTGGAAAAGGAACCAAACTCTTTCTCTTCGCCGTTACCGTTAATCTGCTTGGCAGTTTTGAGCCATTGTTGTTGCCCAGTTTTACCTTTTCTGTTATAGCTCTATTTACCATCTTTGGACAATTCCTGCTATTTACTTCGTCGTGTTGAGCATCCTTTGTACTGTGGATAATCTGAACATGATTACTATTCTATCAAGGAACTGTTTTGGTATATGCAGTTGTTCATAGAGGCTTCAAAAGTTCACCTTTTCTTTTCATTTGATAACTGGCTTATGGTGGTTGGGTGCAACTGGCACCCAGAAGAAAGAATGTTCTGTCCTTGTTCATCTGGAAGTTCACCTTTTCTTTTCATATGATAACTGACTTTTGGTTGGAGGCAATTGGCTCCCAGAAGAAGAGTTCACCTTTTCTTTTCATATGATAACTGACTTTTGGTTGGAGGCAATTGGCTCCCAGAAGAAGAGTTCACCTTTTCTTTTCATATGATAGTTGACTTTTGGTTGGATGCAATTGGCAGCCAAAAGAAAAAGAATATTCTGGCCTTGCGCATCTGTTCATTTGCATTTATGTTTTTAACTTATGGGAACTTGCACTATCATTTGTTTGATGGAAGTACAAGGACTTGTTATGCGTTTTTTCTTACAAGGAATGACTGAGAAACTAGTCCTCCTTAGCTTTCACTTTTACCACACATTCTAATTTGTATTTCACAATAACTAACAGTCCACGTTTAATTGTGTTTGTATCGAAGAGTGTAGGTCAATGGCTTACTGCGCTCATTGTATAACTTAGCACATAATAATTGTTCTTGAATCAGAGTCGTAAAGTGAAGCTTACTGTCATTGCTTGAGCTAAACGTTATATTGAAGAATCCTATGATTCCCTATATCTGCGTATAAGCTCTTGCAGATTGGGAAAACCTTTTGAATATATCCTTTGTGTCCTTCGAATAGGAAGTTAGAGCCCCTATAATTTTCTCCAGTTATCAAACTCTGAGTCTTCTGAATAATAGTATTGGTTCATCGGTAATCATAGAAACAATAATCACTGATATTGACATAGTCGTAACTTTGTAAGATTCCTAATTCCAGAAAAACGAACATTTGTGAGTAATTCTTGCAACATGTTTTCCTCCTGTTGCAGCAACCTTCTGATCGATGTAAAGATATTGCAAGACCAAAAGGGATTCTGACATTTCGTTATACAAAAAGTGGCTATGTTTGCAATTTTTTTTCTTCTAAAAAGGTTGAATACTAAATACTGGCCCAATTAGCGGCCATCCAGTGCAAGTTTTTGTTACATATGGTGTCAGGTCGGATACGAGCTTTCGAACAGAAAAAGTTTACAACAGCCATTTTTAGCTATTGTAATTGAAGAATAGTCACTGTCTAGAATTTCAAATTCCACTAGTAAAATTTCAGAATATTGTCATGGAGTTTCACAAGTACAAATTGAAATTCTATGACAATAACTATTTTTCAATGTAAAATGCTGAAAATGCCTAAGCCCGTGCTATTACTACCCTTCGAATCGACGCAGTTGACAATGTATACATGGATCGGGTTAGTTCGATTTTTAACACTAGACCAAACCAATTATATTGGTTTGGATTGGTTCGATTTTGTCGGGTTTTTCGATTTTTTTGTTACATGAATATTATTTCAATTTGTTAAAGTTATAGATAAAGTTTTAATAAGTGAATATATGTTTAGTAAAATTGAAAAAATTACATACATATGATCAATTTAAATAAATCATATCTATTAAAATATTCATATGGGAGAATTTGTTTAGTAACACATGGTAGTTATTTTTTTTGTCATCTAACAATAGTTTTTCTTTGATGTACGCTTTCAAGGTTAACCAAATTTAATAATTAAACATAAAATCAAATATGAAACCTAAATAATGATATGTTCAATTTAATTTTAAATTATCGAAATACCATTTCAAATTTGAAAAGGATATATAAGAAATCTTGACATATGAATATGGCAGAACAAAGAGATGCTAGACGCGTTTCAATAACACTTGATAAGAAAGTGATACAACCCATTATTTAAAGAAAATAAAAATGAATGCACTTCATAGTTCTATTAAATTTACTTCCCATGAGAGTATCCCAAATATTTTTAAATATTTTTTTAAAGAAAATTATATATAAAGTTTTAAAAGTATATATAAAAATTACATATTTATATATCGGTTCGGTTCGAATTTTTTTACTCAATACCAACCAAATCAAACTAAACCTAATCGAATATTTTTAATGCGGTTCAGTTTGGACACCCCTAGTCGACGTGTCAAGAATTATGGGCTAATGGTGCTTCATTTTTAAAGGTCAGCACATATAAAATAGTAAAAAGGTAAAACAATTAAATTAAAACCTCCTTGTGCTTTGTGTAATTCTGCCATGGTGCATTTTGATTCAAAGATGGAGTGCGCGTCCTCCATAAATAATGGATCAACGAATGACTTTAATAGCTCATGCACATGAAACATCATGCGTTTTACTTAATGTAGCTGCTTTAGCGGAGGGTAAGGTATAGATAGAAATTAATTGGAGAGTAGGGTGTTTGATCAAACTAGATGATATACATATACAACACCCTTTATATTGAAGTATCAACCTGAATAGGCACATACCCAACCGCTTAACTTAAAAAATAGCCGGAGAATATTATATACATGTATATCATATGTATAATTGTGCTCAATCAATATATAATCTATGTATATGGGCTAGAAAAAGTAAACTTTGAATTCAATCGGCTAATTGTGTAAAGATTCCTATATGATCGTTGTATGATTATATGAATATCTTATTCATGCTAAGATAATATTACAAACATTCTTCACATTCTAGTTTAACATTATAAATTTCATGTACTTGTTTTACATTGTACAACTGTTTAGTCATATACTATTTCTTATATGAACTGAGTTATTTGAGTGTATGGATTCACGTTCATGCTTTGAGATATCATTTTGGGCATATTTTTACATGTTCCTATTGAGTTATCGGGTTGGGCATCATGTCCCTGTTAATGTATCAGTTTGGGCATGATTATATCATATTTCTATTGGGCGTGCTAGAACGTTCCTGTTTTGAATGTGGATAAAGAACTATACCGTTAGAGTCGCCCTCCCATATTTTTCTCCGGGTGACATACGAGACCGACGGATTTCCTGGTTTGATATGCAACAACAACAACAACAACAACAACAATAACCCAGTATAATCCCACTAGTGGGGTCTGGAGAGGGTAGTGTGTACGCATACCTTATCCCTACCCTGGAGTAGAGAGGCAACAACAACAACAACAATAACAACCCACTATAATGCCACTAGTGGGGTCTGGGGAGGGTAGTGTTTACGCATACCTTACCCCTACCCTCGAGTAGAGAGGCTGTTTCCGATAGACCCTCGGCTCCCTCCCTTCAAGAACTCCCCACCTTGCTCTTGGGGTGACTCGAACTCACAATCTCTTGGTTGGAAGTGGAGGGTGCTCACCACTAGAGCAACCCCCTCTTGTCCCTGGTTTGATATGATACCAGGTATATGTCAACAATATTCTCATGTAATGCGAGAAAATGGAGTTTCCACTTTATTAGGAGGAGGCATACCTACAAGTTACAACTATTTCCTCAAAGTATAAATACTTTAATAGTAAAGGGCTAGGATTATGCCCAACTCCGACGCAGATGCAATTTGGGCGTAGGAATGTGACGAGTTTTACACGGAGGATATATAAGTATATGAGTGAAAAAAATTATAATTTTGTATACGGTCAAAACCGATTAGTCCGTCGTACGAACTGGTCGAGATGGTAATACTTTGATCGAAGAGCATCTTCGTAATATCAGATTGGGGTTCGAAGTCAGGTCATCAAGCTTCGAGTTCTAGGACTGATCAATGTCAAGCTCAATATCATTATCGAGATCGAATCCAAATCGAGCTACGAGACGAAGCGAAATTATCGAGTTTAAGATTCATAGGCCGACCGACACCGACCCCGAATCGATATCAGACTCCGAGTCGGAATCGAGCTCAAGTCAAGATCGAGAGCTCGAGTCAATACCGAGTTCGAGTCAATATCGAGCTCACAGACAAGAGCCGTTGCAACCGCACTAGGGGAGAGAATTCTGGCAAGAATTAGGAAAAATCTACTTCATCATGGGTTTCCCACTATGTATTTTTATTATATCTAAAGTAGGATCCCTCCACTATAAAGGGGATGATTGTTGTCGCTGTAAAGGGGCGAGACATTCACATTGTAACAAGAATCCTATTTTCTCATATTGAAAGATTAACCTTTTGAGCTCCATCACTTCATCTTATTTTGCTCATTCATTTTCCTCCTTTCTACTGTGTTTTTCTTTCATTCTTTATAGTCAAGATTGGATATTTGTATTTCTCTTTACGATTTGTGTCAAGTTATACCACATACCCTTAGAACTACGTACAAATTCAACTCTATCCGATTTTTTGGGTAAACAGTTTAGCGCCCACCGTGGGGCTAAGGATAATAGTGGTTATTTGGTACGAATCTGCTAAACGCACCCTCTTACAGTTGTTGTTGAAAGTATTTTTGATTTCGAATTAGCAACAATGAACTCTCAATTAATAGCCATACCTATCGACAATGAAGCTGGCCTTCAAGGAGAAAACAACAACTTGACAACCAGGGCCGAAAGGCCGCTTGTAGATGCCGTTGAGGCCCGAGTCGAAGTACCATTAGACGTTAATTCGCATGTGGCTATTGAGGAAAACTAACGTTTTGAGCCTGAAAATAACATTCATGGTGGTACTCGATCTGCACCTCGAGACACCCATAACGTTGAGAAAAACAGAATCAGCTTGCGTATGATTTTCGAAATGTTGCAAGCTTAACAGGTAGCCATAGCTCAGTTGCAGAGTCAAACACAGGTACCGACCAGACCGAAACCCAATCCACCCCGAGAAATCACCCACAGAACGGAGCCAGTTGTAGTAAGGTCTATTGAGCAAGAATCGGGAACTAATCCCGAAATTGTTAAGATGTTTGAAGAACTGACAAAATGAATAGAATTAGGAGAAAAAAGGATCGAAGAAAACAACAAAAAGGTGGAAACGTACAACTCCAGGGTTGATCAGATCCCGGGGGCACCCCCGATATTGAAAGGCTTAGATTCCAAAACATTCGTACAGAAGCCTTTCCCCCCGAGCGCCCTAAACCAATCCCAAAGAAGTTTCGCATGCCCGAAATTCCTAAGTATAATGGAACGACCTACCCCAACGAACATGTCACCTCTTACACATGTTCCATTAAAGAAAACGATCTAGAAGATGATGAGATCGAATCTGTATTATTGAAAAAATTCGGTGAAACCCTGTCAAAGGGGGCAATGATATGGTATCATAATTTACCATCTAACTCTATTGATTCTTTTGCTATGCTTGCAGATTGTTTCGTAAAAGCACATGCCGGGGCCATAAAAGTCGAGACCCGGAAGTCATACCTATTCAAGGTAAGACAAAAGGATAACGAGATGCTAAGAGAATTTGTATCTCGTTTCCAAATGGAACGAATAGATCTACTACCACTCACAGACGATTGGGCCGTTCAAGCTTTCACTCAAGGTATGAACGAACAGAGCTCGATGGCTTTACGGCAGCTGAAATATAACCTGATCGAATACCCAGCTATTACTTGGGCCGATATGCACAATC